CGCGTTACATTCTATATATATAAGTATGAGTAAATTAGATCATTCCAAATTAATTATAACGACACATTTATTAAGAGTAGAAATGTATTTTACGTGTTATATTTATAAAAAAAGAAAAAGCATTCGTTTTATTTCTACAGAATAATTTGTAATCATTAAATAGTATTTTAATAATTGTAACAAAAATAAACTATAACGAATGTGTTAATTTTGAAGCATTTCACTCTGACTTTTAGCTGAATTGGATTTATTCCATATTTCTCCTACAACATGCGCTTATACTTCATAAATGTCCAATTATACATTGCTCGCTTATAAAATACGTTAATGACTTACAAAATGACTTATCTAAAGATATAGTGCGTGAGTACAACGTCCTGATAAACATAACTGTTCTGGAATTTTATGTATCAATGACATTGTTATGTGATGGCTTAAACAAAATTCCAGAGCACTAACTATCAATAATGGAACATACGACGCCTATCTCTTTAGAAAAAAACACGAATTTATTCCAAATAATTTCAATTTTAAAGATTGTTTTACCTGAGAAGGAAATACGTGCCCGTTGAACAGTGACTATAAATGTTGTCAATCAAATGATTTAATGCGACCGGCTGTTTAATATTCTGAAACGTTATAATTTATCATTAATTTAACTCTCCGTTACGTGTTTATATTAGAAAGTAATGTTAATTTTATTAAAATTAGAAAATACTTTGTCATGTTTTCATACAATTGAATTAAAGTTTTGACGTAATTGAAACATTTTTAGAAACGTTAATGTCATTCTATCAAAAAACATTCGAATAGAAGTATATGCCAATAATTAGTGGAAATATAATAATATTAATATTTATCAAACAATTGATTTTACAAGCGCTTCATTGATCCATTTTCCTTCAACAGGAACGTTCGATAAAAAAAAAAATCATTACGTATTTATTATTCAAACCACAAACTCCATGCACGTGGTCTCCGAGGACAAATAGCCAAGTGTATAACCTTTCAAATAAACATACATTTCTTTACTTTCAATATAATATTTACAAAAGTATCTTTGACAGGCGCGCTATATTATATTAAAGTCTAGGAAAATGTAGAACATTAAATTTCCACCTCGATTCAATCGAATGCTTTTTCTAAAAATCTTAGCATAAGCATTAATAAAACAATTATCACTTACATAAGATGTTATAGTTTAATTAAATCCAAGTGTAAAGAATGTACGGCTATTTGCTTTATGTTAAAATCATTGAAAAACATAACAGGCTCTGTCATATCTTTTAATACTATAAGATTGCGTATAGTTATCTGCGTATATAACTATATAAAGACTTAAATTTTGTTCAATGTCTTTTATTTTTTAATGAAAAAATATGGCGAAAGAGTTTATATTAAATTTATTTATTGACAAGTAGTATTTTCACGTTGGTGGGTAGCTTTCCTTCAACAAGAATATGAGGCCGTCTTTAATAATTTGATTTGTTCTACAGACGCATAAAATTTAACTGTCATTAAAAAAAATTATTGTAAAAAAGCAATAAATTCAGATAACGGTTAAAGTGATAAACTTCTACTCGTTCACTTTTCAGAAATAAATAGTTACACTTATGTTTACTTTTAGTTTACTTTATTTAAGATGCTTTAAATTTTTATTTGTTACTAATAATAAAATTCGAAATTCCTCTCATCTTAGACACTTGAAAACATGATTTTCTTTATTTGTAAAATAATTTTTAATATTTAGTTTCATAATAAATATCTTTTGAATTACTCTCTTTTATATATTGTTATGTAACTAATTTTATTTTTTAATATTTGTACTGTTTACTAAATTAATATTCATCAAATTATCGTAATTAAAATACTCATATTTAATGATGTCTACAGAGATATTTACCATCTAAATGCAACTACATTTCCTATGGGTATATTTCAGGACGTGCGAAAGACTTTCCGTAAAAAAGAAATTAGTACCAAAACTCACCACTATGGCGCATTTAGCGCTTTGAATCGTATGAGTTTTGGTTTTAGGGACTGTTAAAAAGTGTTGTTTATTCAGGAAAATTTGGCAGTCTTGAAAGATAGTATCGCATTCCACGTGAAAAGTATGACAAAGGATCAATTACAGTCGGTAGTTGAATACACTGTGCACTATCTATTCAGGTTTTACATGTTCAGAAATACGACATTGAGCATTATCCCCTGCATTGCTAGAGTTTCTGTACAGCGTGAGTGCATGTACAAATAAAATATTTGTTGCTCGCAGCGCCAAAACTGCCGTAGTGATGAGTTTTGGGACGATTTATTTTTCTATACCGAAATGATTTCAACATATTCTGAAATATCGCTATACTAAATTTCGTTGCATTTGGATTGCTAAATATCTCTCTATACGGCGTTGAATACAAGCATTTTTATTACGATCATCCGGTACTTTTGTAGAAAATATAATACTGGATTATTAATCGATGAGAAGGAAAACTTGTTTGTGTTTGATTGATCTTCCAATCGTGGGTAGCCAAGTGTCTCCGATCTGGAAAAGTAATGAAAAAATAACATGTAATTCTTGTTGAAAATTGGCGTTGTCCTCACTAAAAATGTGAACTGTTTTCGCATTTTTTTTCCTGTACGATAACGTAATACTATTATTATTTTTAAAACGTAATGAGTAATAAAATAATAGATTTGTAAGAAGTAATAATAAAATTTAAACACGCGTTACATTCCACAACTAGATATTTGCTATCATTATAATAGGTTTACTGTATTTTGGATGGCGATTCTGTGGAAAATCGAAAATTCTGGGAAAATTTATGTAGCTAATATGAAAATCAGGAACGTTTTAAAGAATTTACAGTGTTTCTAGCGGAAAAAATTTTCGACAAAGTCATCTTAATAAAAGTTAAATCATTTTGGAACATAATCGATCAGAAAATAAGAAAAATTCGGAATAAAAAGATAATCGAAATTCGAACTATCAATTGCAACACGTGATTAATTTCTTTCAAATCACGACTGTTCTTAACGAGTGTTGTTTTTACTTTTTATAATTTGACAAAATAGAAATATATTTTAAACTTATTTTTCGAAATTAAATAAAAAAAACTTATTATACAATATTTTTAATGAAAACATTTTTTTTGTGTAGATATTGAAATTTGATAAACTGTTGTTACTCTTCACTTTATTTTTATTATTATACGTAAAAGATTGATTAAATTGATTAGGGCCTATAAAAATATTTCTGAAGAAAATCATGTAATAAAATTTTGGATGCGTGCTATTTCCTAAAAACTCCTATTTTATTGAAATGTTTACTTGATTTCTTTCTATAAATTAATGCCACTAGCATTTCTTATTACTTAGTGTTATTCCTCGATTATTATAATATAAATTATTCGAAATTAGTTTTTTTCGATAAAATAAACACGATTGAAAATAGCAAAACGCCAAATATTTTTTCTGTGGATTACTTCAGCCTTTNTTAAAGGATTGATAGTTTGTATACAGTTAGGTTTTATAATCTACAATTTCCTATATCGTTTTCGTGACCTGAGTAATTACTAGACAGTTACTCAATTGATTTTAGAAAATATTAAATTACATAATAATCGCTATCAAAATTAAACAATAATTTTCAAACCATCTAATTGAAGAGTTTGAGGGACGAACTTTGCACAACCAAACATTCATTCTACATTCAAGCAATCTATTATCTATTAAATCTATTCTAAATACATTTAAATTTAAACTTTAACATTAAATTAATTCAATTTACAATTAAATACCCACTCTACTGTGTCTTTCAGGTACGGTTTGTTTCACTTGTACTAAACTTTTTTCCCTCTCTAATACTCTTTATAACTTTCTTTCATACCCATGGATGAGAGCCAGAAGATAGGGCGTTTGTCCCGAAAACGCTTCAATTATCAGGTTTTTGACTTCTCTGAGGTTTAAATTGTTTAATTGAATTATGGAGTCCTTGTTTCTTTGGGTAGGTAACAAAATTATAATTTTTCA